TACAAATTTATTAATTTGTGACCAATAAAAGTTATTTGTGACCTATAATTCGTTGTTTTGTGACTATAAAATAAGATGTGTGACTTAAAAATTTTATGATATGTGACCGATTAAACAATTGTGACTTGTAAATTTTTTATTTGTGACCGATGAATGAATTGTGACCTATCAAATTTTCGAATTGTGACCTTAAAATTTTTGAATTGTGACCAAATTGTATAGATCTGTGACCGTTATATATTTATTAATAAAACATATAATTAATTAAATAATTCATAAATAAATTAAATAAAAACCTGATTTTCGAAATTTGAAACATCTAACCTTAATTTTGAAATGTATATAAGTAAGTAGGATTTATGTATTCTTCCCATAATAAGAACTATCTAGGATTCTTCGAGAGATCCTATCCTCCTTAGTAAGGCAATTCGAGTGCCTGGGCCTCCTTAATTCAACACAAAGTTGAGATGGAAATACTTTTTTATTCTTTATTGATAAATTCCACACCTTAAATAGTCTAGTCACTATTGATTCTGGCATCCCATAGAATTTGAAAATGTGCTCAAAAAATATTTGAGCAGCGGAGTTGGCCGTATATGGGTGAGAAATAGGAATAATGTGGCTGAACTTAGAGAAACGATCAAACACCGCATAAATCACAGACTTTCCATTTGAGACTAACAATCCTTCCACAAAATCCATGGAGACATTTTTTGGGGATAGGGAGTGGACTTAGGAGACCTGTGGATTTAGAATTCGACATTCTTGGATAAATTTTCGCACATGATTTTTCATTCCTTTCCAGTAGAAGGTGGATCGAATTCTGTGCAATGTTTTGTCGAGACGTTCATGCATGCTATTATCCATTTTTGTTGGGCGGTAGTTGTAATAGCTTGTTCCAATAAATACTGCGAACTTTTTTTATCAGTCCGCACAATAAATTTGACTCCTAAAAGATAGGGCCTCCATTTTTGGACCGCACAAACTAAAGCCAACAATTCTTTTTCGTAACTTGACAATGTTAAATTTTTTCCTTGTAATGCTTGGCTATAAGAAGCAATGGGCTTACCTCCTTGCATCAACACTGCCCCAAGCCAAATTCCAGACGCATCACACTCCACCACAAAAGGTTCGGAACAATTGGGCATGTTAAGGATGGGACTAGTCGCCGTGGCTGCCTTGAGATCCTCAAAGGCCTTCTCAGCTAGTGGGCTCTATTTGAAGGCGTCTTTCTTCAGCATTTGAGTTAAGGGTTGAGCTAACTCCCCGTATCCTTTAATGAACTTTCTATAGTACCCAATAAGGCCCAAGAACCCTCTTAAGCCCTTCAAGGTAGTAGGTTTGGACCGGGAAACCATTGCAAATATTTTTTCTGGGTCCATAGATATGCCTTGATGAGAAATTATATGACCCAAGTAATTGACTTCTTTTTGCCCAAATTGACATTTTTCTTTTTGACAAAAAACTTATTGCCCCACAATTGATATAAAACTTGCTTCACATGATTTAAATGCTCCTCCCATGAATGACTATAAACGAGTATATCATTAAAAAAGACTAACACAATTTTTTAGAGAATGTCTTTGAATACCTCATTCATTGTCAATTGGAACGTAGCAGGAGCATTTGTGAGGCCAAAAGGCATGACCAAAAATTCATAATGGCCTTGATGAGCTTGGAAAGCCGTCTTCTCCACATCTTCCTCATTCACTCTTATTTGATGGTATTTTGACCTCAAATCTAACTTTGTAAAAAAATTTGCCCCATGCAATTCATCTAATAACTCATCAATTATTGGTATTGGAAATTTATCCTTGATGGTGATGTTGTTCAAAGCCCAATAATCAACACAAAGCCTCCAGGATCCATCATGCTTTTTAACCAATAATACAGATGAAGAATATGGGCTTGTACTCGGCCTTATGACTCCACTTGCAAGTAAATCCTTTTCCAATTTTCAATCTCATTTTTTTTTTAATAATGAGGATATCGGTAAGGCTTCACGTCGATTGGGCTAGTCCCCTCCTTCAGGATAATGCTGCGATATTGTTCTCTCTTTTGTGGCAAGTTGCTTGGTACCTTAAAGATCCCTTCATATCGGCCAAATAATAGCTAAAAATTGTGCGTACTTCCCGAATCCACCAATATGGTAACTACAAAATTGCTTATTCTCCCCTTGAGTCTCATTGTTTGTGGAGTTGACATCCCCATGATTGCATGGGAACTTATTCCTAGGTATTCTTCAGTTTCTAATGGACGTTCCTCCTCTTCTTCATCTTCCTCGGCTGTGGGAAAATTTCCCTCAATCAAAAATAACTTTTTGCAACGATGGCCTAGCGAGAATTTCTCATCACAATTAAAACATAGCCCACTTTCCCATCTATCTTTGAGCTCAGTAGGACTTAATCTTTTAATTATGGGGTTTCGAATCTCTAATGTTGTAGGAGGTGGTAGTAGTGGAAGAGTTGAAAGGGCTGGAAATTTTTTAAAGTCCTGCGCCTTCCCCTTCTGTAAGTCATGGATTTTTGACTCATAGTCTAGCACATCAGTCTGTATAGCCTCTTTCAATCTACTCACAAAACATCCCACTTCTTGTTCATCCGTGAGATTCCCAGCCCTATTTAACAATCGATCAAACTCCAGTTGGTAGTCTCTTACACTTGCTGTTTGAGTTTAGTAAGATCACCTAAAAATTCTGGAACCGTGAAGGTCCATAGCGCAAGTGCAGCTCCAATTTTAGAGACTGTTAATTGGCTCTGACCCCTTGCCTAAATCGTTGGTACCATAGTTGAACATCTCCTTCCGAATGATACCCTGCCATAGGCATTTTGTCCTTCTCGCAGCTCTGCATATCCATCCAGTCGGATCCTCCAGCTCATTATACCGTGGCAAATCTAGCTTTGTTAGCTTCGGTATAAAAGACCCACTGCTTTCGGCAGTTCCCTTCCCTTTGTTTCGAATATAGGAAGAAGAATCATCATGTCCACCACCAGAATTTAGGGAAGATTTTTTCTTGAATTTGGTTAGATAAGACCATGATCATATCCTCAGTGTACTTCATCAACCGCTCCTGAATTTAAAAACCGGGAAGATTTTTTCTTGAATTTGTGGATTAATGAATTTAAGAACCGGGAAGAAGTCTGCAAGCTTAGGAACCGCTCCAACTTCCATCATACCCCATATAATTTCTTTAGTTTCTTGAGAAGAATTGGAATTAAATTGAGCAAAATCAATTGAGAAATGAGTGACTGACATGAGATTAAGCGATGTGATAACGCGGCATCACCAATATCAACTACTTGCTCATTAATACAACAATCATGCACATAGTCACACAATTTCTTCAATTTTTCTTGGCAAAGACCCTGGCTTGCATCAAATCTATGTGATGAAAACATTTATTCCTTACATATTTTCAAAGATTTCGCCGCTGGCTACACACGGGCAACCAGCCCACAGATTTCTTGAAACGATCATATGCTGCTGCTGAAGCTGGAATTTTTCGAGAAGAATACACTTGGTCATGTTTGGCAATCTCTGCTCCCTAGCTTTAGATACATTAGAGGACCATAAATTTTGGAGAGTTTGGCTAGTGATTGATGGGGATTTTTGCCAAGTTGAAGTATGTTACCGATAATCGGAAAAGGGTAAGGCCCCGGTGGCAATTTTCTTTATCTCCGCTGCCTCAGATTTGATCCAGGACATGCCACACTACAAAAGATTGTATACCAGCAGAAGTGTTGGAAGATACATTTCCTTTGCTCCTCTACGTTTGGCACTTGATTTGCATTTATCTATGAAATTTGATTAAGTTCTTAGTAATAGTCACAATCATTTCCAGTTTGATGCTTGGCGGACTAATTCCTAAGTCGACGGTTTTATTAATAGTCACAATCATTTCATATTTAACTAAAGTCTAATATTAATTAGTTAACCTCAGTGTCAAAAAACCACGCTAAATTGATAGATAATAATAATAATAGTACGACTTTGATGTGAATACATATCAATTACATATTTTTCTTTGTGCAAGCTGGCATTCATCCACATTGAGTCTATTCCCCAAAAAAAAAAAACTGAAACAGGATGATTGATTGTGAGGTCACTTTCCAATGGAACATTTTCAACACATTTTTCTACATTTAAGGAAAACTCAAGCCGGAAAAACAGACCTTTACCCTATGTTTGATCAATAGTTTGGAAGTACTAAACTTGTTCAACGAGGAATATTGTGTGCAAGGCGAGAAAGAATTTGAGGCTTCACAGTTTGATTGGGAAAGCCTTGAGAGGCACTGCCTTCTGTAGTGAAATTCCAAACTTCTCACTTATGTCAACTTGTTCGGGTTTCATTCCTTTTTCGAGTTTCCAATCGAAGTTATGAATCAAATTTGCGACCATGAGATGCACCATTCTGTAAGCCAAAGGTAATCCTGGACATATCCTCCTTCCTGAACCGAAGGGAATGAGCTCAAAATCTTGGCCTCTGAAGTCTATTTCACGGTCTAAAAATCGTTCAGGCTCAAATGAGTCTGGATTCGTCCAAAGGCTTGAATCTCTGCCGGTTGCCCATACATTAACAAGTATTTGTGCGTCTTTAGGGATTGTATAGCCATTGATTTCTATATCAACTTCTGCCTTGTGAGGTACTAAAAATGGGGCAGGAGGATGATACCTAAAGGTTTCTTTGATCACTGATTGCAGATATGAAAGTCTTGAGATCTTTGATTCTTCAACTTGTTTATTTACTCCAACGACAGTCATAAGCTCGGTTTTAGCTTTCGACATTTTCTCAGGATTCCGTAGTAATTCAGTCATTGCCCATTCCACCGTGCTAGAAGTAGTGTCTGTCCCTGCAATGAATAAATCCTAACGCACGAACCAGAAATTAGTGATCACTTTACAGTATGGAAGTATATGAATAATTTTATTTCACTCACCAGAAGTAGATGCTTTAGTACATCAAAGGTTAATTCGGTTTGGTTTGTCTGGTTATGGTTGAGGATCGCTTCTAGTAAATCACTTTTCACCGAATGATCCAGTGATTCACCTCTTGACTTCAACCGTTGATTGATCAAATCATCAAATATTACAAATACTTTTCTAAGGTAACTCTTGGTTTCACGCAAAAGGCCTTGTGGATCGATGAACTTCAGAACAGGGAAGAAATCTGCAAGATTAGGAACTGCTCCAACTGTCATCAAACCCCGGACAACTTCTTTTGTTTCTTGAGAAGATTTGGAATTAAATTGAGCAAAATCAGTGGAGAAAAGAGTGGCTGACATAAGATTAAGCGATGTGATAAACACAGCATCACCAATATCAACTACTTGCTCATTACTGCAGCAATCATTCACGTAGTCATGCAATTTCTGCAATTTTTCTTGACGAAGACCCTGGCTTGCATCAAGTCTATGTGATGAAAACATTTGTTCTTTACAAATTTTACGAAGACTTCGCCACTGGCTAGCCACAGGCAACCAGGCCACAGACTTCTTGTAATGGTCATATGCTGCAGCAGCAGCTGGGATTGTTCGAGAAGAAAAGATATGATCATGTTTTTGTAGAACTTGTTTGGCAATCTCCCGTGATGAGACGACAATCGTATTTCTGCTCCCTAGCTTTAGATACATAAGAGGGCCATAAGTTTTGGAGAGTTTGGTCAGCGATTGATGGGGGGTTTTGCCGAGTTGAAGAATGTTACCGATTATCGGAAAAGGGTAAGGCCCGGGTGGTAACTTGCCGGATCTTCTGCCCCATAGATTTGATCCTAGGACATACCAAACTAGAACAGATAATACTACAAGAGAAAATGTTAGAAACTCCATTGTTCGTTTTCCTTTGATCGTCTCTGTTTGTGTTTGGGACACATTTATAACTGCAAAAATGTTAATCGCGTTTTAGCAATGGGCATAATCATTGCCGAGTCATGGCTCAGAGGACAAATATATAAGTCAATGGTTTTTGTCTAATGTAATTGATTTTTTATGCTGATATGGATCTTACAAGGTAGACTTTTTGGGGAAAATTGAAATTCTGAACTCTAGTTTGTTTTGAACCTAGGTCTAAGATTAGTTAGTTTTGAGAAGATGTTTATGGCATCTATCTAGTCATTTGGGACCTTATTCACTTAATCGAGAAATATATTTGATTCCCCAAAAGTTGAGAATTCCTCCACAGCCTAAGATCATGCCAAAATGCGGCGTTAATGGACCACAGATGAATATAACGAAGGGATGTGACATGGCCTCAGCTTGGTAGCGCTCTTATTTTAAATTCAAAGAGCTCAAATCTTATCATCTCGACTACGCCTTAAAGCAGTAACAAATAATCAGTTGAAATACTTAATTGTATTTCTCGGTTGATGCTTTCCCTTCCAAACCTCAAAATCTCTCTTTCGTTGTGGAGCAAATATATTTTAGATTAGAACTTAGTGTCGACCCTTTTGACACAATAAAGATTAGAATATACAATTCAAAATGAGTATGCAAAGGGAAATGAAAGATGATGATGATGATGATAATAATGAGGTCACTTTCCAATTAATTTACATTTTAATGCCGTCCCATCTCTCTCTTGCAACTGTTGAAGAAGAAGACAGACAAAATTCAATATAGTTCTACCATTATTGTTACAACTCGAAAAACAAATACATATTACCAATTTATACGTATATCAATCATTCATACGTAGAAAACAAGATGAACTAATCAATATCCTTATTACAATTTACTGAAAAGTATGGACCAAACAAACAAAATTCCCCGAGCTTAAATTAATACAATACCAATCAATGTTGCCGCAAATAGTTTTGAATTTCTCTCCCGATTCAAATACAAGCATGAAGAACTGGTTCGAAAATCAATCATCAAACAAAACTATTTACTCTTCAGGTTGCTGAAATTCAAGATCTGATTTCCTCTTCAGATGTGGTCTATCAGCACTGCAGTGGAGGAAAAAGGGTTCAGGATATTAAGAAAATCAAATGATAATAAATTATATTTATGCATATGATCTCCTAGGGTATAAATAATATCATTTAAATTAACAGTATTTCCTACAAAACGATCTGGCCATAAGCCTTCTCCTGCAAAAGTCATCCGTTCAAACGCACCCCCACCACACAAACAAAAAATAAAAATAAAAAAGGAAACCCTTATATCACCATATTTATCTATCACCAAAGCAATTCCTCTCAAAAGCCTACGCTCACATATACAACCAAAAATACCACATACTAGACTTCTTTTGTTTCTTGGGAAGATTTGGAATTAAATTGAGCAAAATCAGTCCAGAAAAGAGTGGCTGACATGAGATTAAGCGATGTGATAAACCCAGCATCACCAATATCAACTTCTTGCTCATTACTGCAACAATCATTCACGTAGTCACACAATTTCTGCAATTTTTCTTGGTGAAGACCCTGGCTTGTATCAAGTCTATGTGACGAAAACATTTGTTCTTTACAAATTTTACGAAGATTTCGCCACTGGCTACACACGGGCAACCAACCCACAGTGTAACATTGCATGCTTAATTTTCGTTATTATTATTTTTGTCTTGATTAATATTAATATTCTATTTATTGCTTAACAAATGTGAATATCTCTGTCGTGACTAATTATAATTTTTACAGTCGTGACTAACTATATTTGTTGCAGTGAAATGTACGCTAGACATTCTAAGCGATCAACGTGCCTAGCAATTCAAAACTTAAGATGCATGTAATTTCAATAATTTGTACCTTAGACGCCATTGACACTTAAATGTGTCTTTTAATTTAATTTAATTATGATCCACTTATAATTTTATTAAGCTCGAATTAATTATATAATATAGAAATTACTTTATAAATTTATTAGAATTCTTATTTTATTTCTATCATTTGTGAATTTATTTATAAATTTCATGTCATTAGCCAATACAGATGTGTGGGTATATATATATAATATTATATGCCTATTTATTTAAATTACATCGCCCACACTGGTGAAGTTTAAACATAAATCAGTGAGATCTAATGAAAAATAAATAAAAAATTGGTAATTCCCCTTGGTGTATATATTTTACTATATGGGAAATTTCTTCATTTAAAAAGAAAAAGGGATTATACTATGTTCATCATTTAAGAACTATTTATACATGTAGACGGATAATTATAAATTATGTATTCTCAAATTGTGTTTGGGCAGTGAATAAAATAAGTAAATTGCTCACATATGTTAAGACATATTTGGTTCCACTTTTTCTTAGTATCAAGGCATTTTATGTTTAGTCTTTTCTTGCCTGACTTGATTGTGTTGTGTGTGAGTTTGTGTGTATCTTTGTGTGATTATATCAATGGATGGTATTTGTACGTAAGTATAGGTAAATGAGGGTTGTGTGTGCTTACATAGATCGATGTAAATTTAAATCTAAATCCGTGTCAATATGTATATACATTTTATAATAATATAATTAAAAATAAATAAAATAAGTTAATAGGAAAATATTATGGCTTAACTTTTAAAAGTGGATTTCAACAAAGTTCTCAAATAATTGATATGAATTAGGATTTTTGGCACGTTGACTTCGTGGGTTACTAGGGACATTTCTACTTGCCATTCGAATAGTAAATTGCTAAGATTCAAGGTAGGTAAACCCCACCCTATTTTCAAGCGTACCTCACTTGATTAAATGTATAAACATACTATCTATATTGCTTTTTTGTGAACATGACATATGATTGTTATGTTTCTCATAACATATTTTTGTTAATGATGATGCATTCATAAACATGCATGAAGTTTCATGAGGTAAAAGGTTTTCAAATGTTAATGGGTCAACGAATGTTTTAAAGAAATATGTATCCCGGATGTTTTTATTACCAAGTGTATGTCCATGCCATGAAAGGTATGAGTGGGAATTAGGTGTTGGGGACCAGCGCACCCGATCAATGTTCAGTGTAAATGTTAACCATTTTGCAATACTACCGACAAAATGAATCGGGTTCCAAATAATAATTGTCCACTGCATTCTGATTGGTTAGGCGATACACTAAATCGAGCTCACAATGTTAACGTTATTGTTTTTAAAGAAATGAAAGAAAATGTGATACATAATAGAAAATTTATTTATTACCAAATGATGACCACTATTTTCAGATGATGAAAGCTAGAAGATGTGAGGTGACCACTTGAGGCAAGACGGATTCAGTACTGTCTGAGTTAGACGTTCAAATTCTAATCTAATAAGATTTATTTGAACCATTTTGAAATTTAAATAAGTAAATCATTTCGGATGATGTTATTTTCTTTACGCAATTATCTAGGATTTTAATAAGTTCAGCAAATTATGATATAAATTGAGTTTAATCGATGCTATTCTATTTATCTATTTTACTGTATTTACTTCTTAAATGAAAATAAATGCTAATACTCATTAGTTTAAAATTGTTTAGATTTAGTCTGTTACACACAGACTTCTTGGAATGGTCATATTGTGAAATTTGGAAGAACGTTTTTATTCAATAATAATCTGTATAAGTATATATAGCTCTTTAGCCTTTCAATTAACTCCTAAAAATCTGCTACTAACTGATGGTATAATACAAAGAAGGAAGGTAATATATTACAATTTATTTGTTCCCTAATTTATAATATTNAGTTGAAGAATGTTACCAATTATTGGAAAAGGGTAAGGCCCGGATGGTAACTTGCCGGATCTTCTGCCCCATAAATTTGATCCTAAGACGTACGAAAATGGAAAAGATAATACTACAAGAGAAAATGTTAGAAACTCCATTGTTCGTTTTCCTTTAATCCTCTTCGTTTGTTTTTGGGACACATTTATAACCCGCAGTTCTCTAACTGGAAACATTTTACATACCTTATCCTAAAAAAAAGGGGACACATTTATAACCGCAAAAATGTTATCACGTTTTAGCAATGGGCATAATCATTGCCGAGTCATGGCTTTGAGGACAAATACATATGTCATGTTGGCTGCTAAAGCCACCTTTGTTGACTAAAGGTGCAAACAATTTTCTTGCATGCATTAAATGTCTAAATTGGAAGAATTGAATTTGGTGTAAACTTTCACCCTTAAGCCGAAACATGCATATTTTGATAGCCACATATTCTGGAGAAAACTTAAAAGTAGCATTTCATGTTGAGATGGTTGTGCAGCCCTTCTGTTTTTTGTGGAGAAATGTTTACAGTTCAACCGGAATTTAGCTCACATTTGTTGAAATTATGGCATCGTAATTAATGAGGAAGGCAGCCAAATTTGCTAAGATAGAGGGCGAATGCTGAAGAAAAAATGCAGCAAATTGAGAGGAATTGAAAGTGGTGAGTAGAGAGAAAATAGTGAGTAGAAACATAAAATTATAGAGAGAAAAATATTGGGTATCTTCTACTTAGTTTCTCCTATTATAAAAGAGATTCATTGTTGTTATCTCCTTTTATTTAGAGAGTGTAATTGTAATTCTCCTACTACAGTGAAATTCTCCAATATTTGTCTGTGGATGTAGTTTAAATTGGGTGAACCACTTAAATATTCGTGTCCATTTTAACTGTATTTTTTCAATTTCAATTTTTCATTACAAGCCAAACTTGACCCACGTTTTCCTAACAAGTCAATGGTTTTGTTTAATATTATTGATTTTTTATGCTGATATCGATCTTACAAGGTCCGGACTTTTCGGGGAAAATGGAAATTCTAAACTCGATTTTGTTTTGAACCTAGGTCTAAGATTAGTTAGTTTTGAGAATATGTTTATGGCATCTATCTAGTTATTTAGGACCTTATTCACTTGAATCGAGAAATATATTTGATTCCCCAAAAGTTGAGAATTCCTCCACAGCCTAAGATCATGCCAAAATGCAACGTTAATGGACTATAGATGAATATAGCGAAGGGATGTGACATGGCTTTAGCTTGGTAGCGCTCTTATTTTGAATACAAAAGGTCAAAAGAGTTCGAATCTTATCATCTAGACCTATATTATTACGTCTTAAAGCAGTAATAAGTAATCAGTTGAAATACTTAATAGTATTTCTCGGTTGATGCTCTCCCTTCCAGACCTCAAAATCTCTCATTTGTCGTGGAGCAAATATGTAAACGATTGGATTATACAATGCAATAGTAACTCTACAATAACATGAAGCAGTTGGAATTCATCACCAGGTTTGAAAAATGAGTATGCAAAGGGAAATGAAAGATGATGATAATAATAATTATTATAAGGTCACTTTTAATGCAATATACCATTGCTGCAAGGGCGCCATATCATTCAACGAGGAATAGTGGGTGCCCAGTGAGACAGAACATGAGGCCTCACAGTTTGATTGGGCAAGCCTTGAGAGGCACTGCCTTCTGTAGCGAAATCCCAAACTTCTCACTTAGGTCAACTTGTTCGGGTTTAATTCCTTTTTCGAGTTTCCATTCGAAGTTATGAATCAAAGCTGCCACCATGAGATGCACCATTCTGTAAGCCAAAGGCAATCCTGGACATATCCTCCTTCCTGAACCGAAGGGAATGAGCTCAAAATCTTGGCCTCTGAAGTCTATTTCACGATCTAAAAATCGTTCAGGCTCAAATGAGTCTGGATTCAACCAAAGACTTGAATCTCTACCGATTGCCCATACATTAACAAGTATTTGTGCATCTTTAGGGATTGTATAGCCATTGATTTCTATATCAACTTCTGCCTTGTGAGGTACTAAAAATGGGGCAGGAGGATGATACCTAAAGGTTTCTTTGATCACTGATTGCAAATATGGAAGCCTTGATATGTCCGATTCTTCGACTTGTTTGTTTCCTCCAACTACAGTCAAAAGCTCCGTTTTAGCTTTCGACATTTTCTCAGGATTCCGTAGTAATTCAGTCATTGCCCATTCCACCGTGCTAGAAGTAGTGTCTGTCCCTGCAACGAATAAATCCTAGTGTACGCGCCAGAAATTAGTGATCACTTTACAGTATGGAAGTATATGAATAATTTTATTTCACTCACCAGAAGTAGATGCTTTAGAACGTCAAAGGTTAATTCGGATTGGTTTGTCTGGTTATGGTTGAGGATCGCTTCTAGGAAATCATTTTTCACCGGATGATCCAGTGATTCACCTCTTGACTTCAACCGTTGATTGATCAAATCATCAAATATTACAAATACTTTGCTAATGTAACTCTTGGTTTCTCGCAAAAGGCCTTGTGGATCGATGAACTTCAGAACAGGGAAGAAATCTGCAAGATTAGGAACTGCTCCAACTGTCATCAAACCCCGCACAACTTCTTTTGTTTCTTGGGAAGATTTGGAATTAAATTGAGCAAAATCAGTCGAGAAAAGAGTGGATGACATGAGATTAAGCGATGTGATAAACGCAGCATCACCAATATCAACTACTTGCTCATTACTGCAGCAATCATTCACGTAGTCAAGCAATTTCTGCAATTTTTCTTGGCGAATACCCTGGCTTGCATCAAGTCTATATGACGAAAAAATTTGTTCTTTACAAATTTTACGAAGATTTCGCCACTGGCTACACACAGGCAACCAACCCACAGACTTATTGGTATGGTCATATGCTGCAGCAGCAGCTGGGATTGTTCGAGAAGAAAAGATATGATCATGTTTTTGTAGAACTTGTTTGGCAATCTCCCGTGATGAGACGACAATCGTATTTCTGCTCCCTAGCTTTAGATACATAAGAGGGCCATAAGTTTTGGAGAGTTTGGTCAGCGATTGATGGGGGGTTTTGCCGAGTTGAAGAATGTTACCGATTATCGGAAAAGGGTAAGGCCCAGCTGGTAACTTGCTGGATTTTCTGCCCCATAGATTTGATCCTAGGACATACCAAACTAGAAAAGATAATACTACAAGAGAGAATGTTAGAAACTCCATTGTTCGTTTTCCTTTGATCCTCTTTCTGTGTTTGGGGCACATTTATAACCCGTGAAAAATTTATCACGTTTTAGTCATGGCTTTGAGGACAAATATCTGTGTCATGTTGCCTGCTAAAGCCACCTTTGTTAACTGAAGGGCCAAACAATGTTCTTGCATTATTCACGTTACTCGAGAAATATATTTGATTCCCCAAAAGTTGAGAATTCCTCCACAGCCTAAGATCATGCCAAAATGCAACGTTAATGGACCATAGATGAATATAACGAAGGAATGTGACATGGCCTGAGCTTGGTAGCGCTATTATTTTGAATTCAAAGAGCTCAAATCTTGACATCTCGACTACGCCTTAAAGCAGTAACAAATAATCAGTTGAAATACTTAATTGTATTTCTCGGTTGATGCTCTTCCTTGTAGACCTCAAAATCTCTCATTCGTTGTGGAGCAAATATATTGGAGATTTTTTTTTTGGAGCAGTTAGAACTTAGTGTTGACCCACCGGCACAATAAAGATTAGACAATGCAATAGTAACTCTACAATAACATGAAGCAGTTGGAATTCATCACCAGGTTTGAGAAATGAGTATGCAAAGGGAAATTGAAAGATGATAATAATTATTATTATCATAAGGTCACTTTTAATGCCGTCACATCTCTCTTTTGCAAATGTCGAAGAAGAAGCCAATCAAAATTCAATACAGTACTTCCACTTTAATGTCGTCACATCTCTCTTTTGCAACTGTTGAAGAAGAAGACAGTCAAAATTCAAAACAGTACTACCATTATTGTTACAGCTCGAAAAACAAAGAATCATGCTACCTTTACAAAAGTTAGGTTACAAAATACATCTTGACAACATCCTGGCCAATAATTTAAAAAAAAAAATTTGAAATCAATGACCTAAATTTTACCACATCATTTTGTCAAGACACTTTTGTAAATCACATTTGTACAAATAGCATAATTGAAAAACGAACAGATATAACCAATCAATCATTCATATCTAGAAAGCAAAGTGACAACATAATATGGTCCCAACTCAGCCTGTGTTTGGTAACCTTTTTTACCATAAAAATACATTTTTCCTGTCAAATCAGTGGGACCCGCCTGTGATAATGCACTGACTGCAAGAATTCCAATTTACCGGGCTGCCCTTACCGTGGTTAATAATGCATTTTGAACAAGGGCTCATTGGTCATTTTAGTCCCTGTTTGGTCAAAAAAGTATGTCTCCCTGCCACTTGTAGTGCATAACCTGCCAATGGAACTGTACAATGCCTATAATTTTTCTACAATTTGGATGAAAATGGTTATCAAATTTCAGATCACCTTTTCTTGGTAACTGGAACTCTGTAAGAAAACATGATGAACTAATCAATATCTGCTTACAATTAACTGAAATGTATGGACCAAACAAACAAAATTCCCCGAGCTTAAATTAATACAATACCAATCAATGTTGCCGCAAATAGTTTTGAATTTCTCTCCCGATTCAAATACAAGCATGAAGTACTGGTTCGAAAATCAATATTCCAGACACAAATCAATCATCAAACATAACTATTACTCCAGTGGTTTATTGTACACATGACCAGTTAAAGGGGCTGTATTCTATAGGTTAACAAATTTCTGTGCGCTAATTACTTCAGTCTAGAGTCTCGCCAAGGTATTTCCCTGGTAAATAAATCAATATAAGTAAAAGAATTTTAACGATGAAATTATTAAAAAAAAAAAAAAGATCACAAACTGTATTTAATAAGAATGAACTTCTGAAATTGAGATTGCCGTAACAAACCTCTTATGCCAAAGTATCTATCCTTGCACAAGAATTGAAAACCCTCGGTATGCTTGTGTACAAGTTATTCTTCTTCAGGTTGCAGAAATTCAAGATCTAATTTCCTCTTCAGATGTGACCTATCAGCACTGCAGTAGAGGAAAAAAGGTTCAGCATATTAAGAAAAGCAAATGACAATAAATTATATTTATGCATATGATCTCCAAGGGTATAAATAATATCATTTAAATTAACAGTATTTCCTACAAAACAATCTGGCCGTAAGCCTTCTCCTGCAAAAGTCATCTGTTCACCCGCACCCCCACCACAAAAAAATAAAAATAAAAAACAATAAGAGACTTATATCACCATATTTATCTATCACTAAAGCAATTCCTCTCAAAAGCCTACACCCAACATATACAACCAAAAAGACTACATACTAGACAATTTAGGATCACAGTTCAGCCTCCATTCAGGCTTTCAAAGCTTTAAGTCGTTTACAGGTAAAGTACCGACTTCTTCCCTTTCCCTACGCTTGTGTCTCTTCTTAAGCAAAGGAGTAGCGGCAAGGAAGGAGTACCCGGTTAGCCCTTGCTCCTCTTTGCTAGAAGGAGCGGAATATTCTCCGAGAAGAAAAAGGAAGTGAGCGCACCAGGTGCTCGAAGAGCAGATAGATTGTTTAAGTGAAGAAGAATAGGCTCGTTGTCCAACTATTCAATTAGCCTTGTCACGTTCAAGATTCCAAGCACCTCACATATATACCAGTACATTATCCTCACAAAAAGCAAAGAGTAATATAATCTTTTCTCCCATAACAATTGACCCTAAGCTGTTGAAAATATTCATTTTGTTACATTAACCAGAACTGGATGTGACAATTTCAATAATCTTCAAGTGTTCCAATACATACTTCCTACTTCCCATTAAAAGTATTAGGTTTATGTAAGATTTTTGCAGAAACCTCAAGTAGGGAATAACAAGGATAGGAGCTGCAGTATATGGTGAAACTTGTACTGGCCAAACTGGAAGAATAGAAGGAACTAAAAGAAGAAGAAGAAAGAAAAGAAAGAGAGATGAGATTGTGCAACAAGGACATGTATTTGAAGCTTCAAATTTTGGATCCAGTTCTTTAAGCATTGAACCATGCGACATTTACCTAGAAATAAAAGTACTTCAAATCTGATTTTCATTAATTGGCTACTTTTAAACTTCTTGGCTTTCCATGCCAAGAGAGAAAAAAGGGGACCATAGGATTTTGAAAAGTGTGGATTTTGAAAAAATTAAACAATCTCTCTTTGAATCCAAGAATTATAGTCAAGTAGCGCGTCAGAAACGTGTGGAACCATACACATTAGAATTAGATTCACCTCAATCGAGAAGATATTGATTTATTTGTTTCAATATCTGGCAAGAAGCATCATTAGACTACACAGGTGGGCTGACAGTTTTAAAAGTCTCAACAATATTAGTTTCCAAACCAGAGCCCAATGAAAAAGTACACCAAAATCCAAATAATTCAATTGCAACTATATTTATCAATATTATCAGCATAGGAGAAGAGCTGCACGTTTCTTCCACAGTGAAACTACGAGCCACTAATCACCACAAAGAACTTGGGGCACATAACTCAAAATCAAGATCTTGACTTTCATGGTCATTCAATTGTCATCAAGCGCACGTGTCAATAAGATAGTGTTCACCTGTTAATTGTTGGTCTAGTAGGTGGCTTCATCCCAAAAACTGAGAAATCCAGTGACATTGGCACATGTTCACTCCTCTCTCCAGCTGCCTGTCTGTTCTCATTACCACGTTCATCAATCTTGTCAAGCTGGTGAGGATTCACTTCAAATCCCTCACGCTGTGGCATCACTCTCCTTGACTTTCTTGGAGGAGACAATACAGTTGGACCACCCTGTGAATTAAAATCCGAAACCTTAAAACTAGATGACTCCTTTTTTGGTGGAGGTCTAGGTAGCGAAGCAGGTTCTGTAGGTGGGGGTACAGAAGAGAAGTACCTAAAGAGAAAGCAAAGGTTAAAATCCTTCCATTGTAAAGTAATCGTCATCAATGCCAAATCAAACATACCGGTGCTCCAACGCCTGTTGTGCTGAAATTCTAGCTTTAGGATCATACATGAACATCTTTGTTAAGAGGTCCAAAGCATCATCACTTGCCATGGGAAATAATGTACGTAGTGATTGACCAGGAACATATTGGTATTCCACATAATCAGGAAGGTAGATCATATCTGGCCACTGAGATGGCTTTGGGGTCCCAAAAGCCACAAAGATCTTTCCCAATTGATCAATATCACTATTTCCCTAAAGAGTTTAACAAAAACTAAGAAACGTGTAACAGATTCAAAAGTCTTGAAAGGGTAATTTCACATGACCAGAAAAATCAACATGCTTTAACGTTATGGACTATGGCTACTTCACCATTCGGACTAAACTACTCATGCCAATGCAATTGTAGTTGCCAGCAACAGATGAGTCCCACATTACTAATTTGCGCTTCAAACTTCATATGCACGAGGATTTGGCATGTCATTGCTTAATATGATGGTTATTTTTATTTAACATATTTTTAAATTATAATCAATTAATAAGTAATTTAATATGTCTAATGTTTTTCAATTTATTAATAATAAAATATTTTAGTTCATTAAATATAATTTCTAATTTCATGATTTTATTAATAATATAATTTCTAGAATAAAATTTGGTATAAAATAATTCAAGATATAATTTGATATAAAATTCAGTGCAAAATCATCTCCGATGGTCTACACCAAATTTGGTGTAATCATTGGAGAGGTTACACCAAGTTACACCCAATTTGGTATAGACCATTGGAGATGGTCTTATAATCACAGATTTCACAGCAACCATCTTGGAACTAATTGAAGCAAATGATTAAACCATCGTATCAAGAAATGCAAAAACACAAACAGCAGCAACTATTTCGAAGTAATTAAAAAAAAAAGAGCATTTATAAACATGAAAAAGGAAATTCACCTGCAGAAAAGGTCTCCGTAGAAGTAGCTCAGCAAATATACAAGCTGCTGCCCAAACATCTACTCCTGGGCCATACTGCTTGGCACCAAACAACAGCTCAGGCGCTCTATACCATCTAGCAAAGACCTAAATAATGAAC